ATCTTCGGAACACAAATTAAGATATTTTTTATTAATTCTGACAGCTCTCTGACCCTACCATAGACAGCAATGTAAATAACATGATCAAGCTCCAGAAACGTAGCAAGGAGATCGGTAAAATAATCCATGTGACCTCAGGGGTTCAGCCATAATTTTACGAAGCTACGAGAATACTTTTTGAGTGCAAAAGAAAAAAAATAACGACTTTATTCAACAATTCATCTCCTCCACATCACCCTAGTGCCTTTTTTGGAGAGTATCCACTGAACGTAAATTGCGTATGCTGTTTTGTGTCAGCTGTGACACGCGGATACGTAGTTTACATCATTTACGCATTGATTTGAACGAAAACAACGTATTTATGGTATTAAGCTGCAACAGAATGCTTTGTAAGAAGACACAGAATAAATATGTATGAAATATGTTTGACAATTTTTGGAATCAAAACTAGGAATCAATAAGAATTAGAATCGATAAGCAGAAATGGATTTTCAAAAACAAAATTCAAACAATACCCAACCCAGAGAGTGAGTAACATGTTAATTAATTCCCCCCCCCCCCCCCCAGATCTCTACATCTTACCGATACCATACCAGTATTTACGCTCAATTTTTATTTTTGTCTTTCTGTTTTCTGGCTTCGTATCTTCTGCATATTTGGTCATACAGGTAGTGATTCTCCTGTTGTTTCCTCTGGTAAAGCACGATAATAAGTGTGTTTCATTGTCTAATTCTCGTTCTTCACAAGACCAAACAACACTGCACTACTAGTGTGTGTTAGCTGGCAGCCAAAGAGCATGAGGATTCTCTTCCACATTTAGTGAAACACTGGGGGTCACATCATTTCAATATGATGAAATACACTGAGCGGGCGACCTGCTCCTGAAATTTTCATGGTAAAAAAATGATTGATATGTGCTTTAGAGTGATTGGTTGGTTTGGTAACCTCCTGATTGAGCAGTGCATCATTCACATCACATTCACCTTACAGTTATATTTTATATATATATATTTTTAATGTATTGCTGCCAAACTTCTGGAAACTGCTGTACATTATTTTATAATACAGTTTTCTTAGCAAGCCTTATTCAAAGGTGCACAATGTGTTCTTGCACGATATTTTATTAATATGAGCTTTGGTAAATACTCAGCCAAGACTCTAGAGACACAACTGCAACCACTTACACATATTGCACAGACTTGAGTTTTAAGTCACTGGAGACCCCATAACCAGGATGGAGAAATTCAGAAAGATGAATTTGAGTCATAGGGAATTCTACTTTGAGAAATGACTGCTCTAGTTCTTTTTGATCCCTATAAAGAGGCCCCAGGACCCAACAGAGTTGTTCACCAAGAGAGTGACCTTGACAAACCAGTCTACCGTTGCCTCCCACCTGCCCCACAACACAATTTTCACGACAGGCAGGACTAAAAATAATTTAGCCACTACCACTGTGAGAACTTGACCAGATGTAACTGGGCATGTTTTCCTGTTCATTTGAGCTCTTTCCATAAACTTTATTTCTAAAAGTGCCAGTTCTTCTGTGCTTTGCTCAGCTCAAACGAGAATTGATTTATCAGACTACATTGCATATTGCATAGTGTTGTATGTGTGTCTTGGCCACTGCCTAAAAAGATAGTTCTATGAAAATTCTGTCATCATTTACTCACCCTCATGTCATTCCAAACCTATATTACATTCTTTCTTCTGTGGAAAATAAAAGCTATTTTGTAGAATGTTGGTAACATTTTTGGTGAAAATTGACTTCCTGTGGCCAAAAAAAAGCAGAGAGATGTTTCTTTAAAAAAAAACAATCTTTATTCCGTTGGGCATCTGGTTCTGCCGCCCTCAAATGGGTTGCATCAAATTGCGCCTCCTTTCATGTTTGACATGGCATCAGGTGGCACACGCCGAGCTGGCCCCTGGCCGTCCATGCTGTAAATCATGCCGCTCCCAGGAATTTGTGGGGACAGCAGCAAGGCCACTGGAAAAGAGAAAGCCAGATTGGAAATGGAGGGATTTGCATAATAACCTCTCCAGTTGTCCTCTGGAGAGCAGGTTTCCGGTTCACGCTCACTTTATGCCTTGGATTCTTCTTATACCTTCTTCTTTTTTTGTTCACCCAGACTGTCCAGATATTTCAAGAACTATGAGCTCTTGTTTGTGATATTCAGCTGTAGTGAATGTGCGGACAGGATGGTTTATTATTTATAATGTTGATTTTCACCTGCTTAATTCCTACTCATGTTTAAATCGAGTTGGCATGTCTGAGTTGTTTGTCTTTGCAATATGTAGCCTTGTGCATGTTATAGAGAGAAATTATATTTCACAACATCTTTATTAAAGTGTAAAGGGGACATGCTTGCATTATTAATGTTCATAATAATGATTTATATATGAAGGTTCAACCTTACGTTCCCAAGACAGATTCATCTTTTCTACATATGTGGGCTTTGATCAGAAAATCAGTTGATTGAAGACATGCTTTATAGATACAGTATTCATTTATCATGTTAATATTGTTTATAGCCTAGATATTCAACTTTTATTCTTTCACATGTGTGAATGAGTCTGGTCATGTTGCCTTTGAGATAGAAGCAGTACTGCTTAATTAAGTACTGTAGTATCCGCAAAATCACTGCCAACAATCTAACCAGTGACTGACACAGTTAGATTTTTTTTTCTAAAGGTTTTTAACGGGTCTGTAAATGGGTATTGATTCATTATAATATTCTTTGAGCTATTTTCATCTTCAGGCTTTAAAATCGTTATCATGTGAGATTGTAGCACATCAGTAACTCATCAGTGTCTCATAATTATTCATGAGATGTTGTATCGTTATACTATGAGAAGATGCTTCTCTTTATTCACACCAGTATGTGTAGCTTTCCTATGACAGATGCTTCAAACTGTGAAATCATGTAGAGTAGCTGAGACTCGTTCATGAATCTCAAGTGACTGTTTGTTTTTCACTTTGTAGTTTCTGCCTGGTATCTTTAGAGCTCATTGATATATCCAATCAAACAGCTTATACGGGTGCATCTCAATAAATTAGAATGTTGTAGAAAAGTTCATTTATTTCAGTAATTCAACTCAAATTGTGAAACTCGTGTATTAAATAAATTCAATGCACACAGACTGAAGTAGTTTAAGTCTTTGGTTCTTTTAATTGTGATGATTTTGGCTCACATTTAACAAAAACCCACCAATTCACTATCTCAACAAATTAGAATACTTCATAAGACCAATAAAAAAAAAAGTATGTTCATTTACTGTACATGTACTCAATACTTGGTAGGGACTCCTTTTGCTTTAATTACTGCCTGAATTCGGCGTGGCATGGAGGTGATCAGTTTGTGGCACTGCTGGGGTGGTATGGAAGCCCAGGTTTCTTTGACAGTGGCCTTCAGCTCATCTGCATTTTTTGGTCATATTTAATATTTGTTTGTTTTGATGTGTGTAGTGTTGAACTGCAGCCTGTGTTTGTGGGAACATTTGATGCTTTTAACTCTGAGATCAAAATAAAACTGAATGGCTTAGAAGCTGTTGTCTGCCCTGTTCCTTCTGAACACCACAGCTTAATATGCACACTTTAAATTTTTTTTTTTTTTTTTTAGCATTTTTCAAAACTGTCGAGAACTAAATATGCTGAAACAGGGAGTTTCATGACCCTTTAAACAAACATTTTCTTTCTTCTGTTCTTTCTGTTATAAATATTGGACATGAACTGTATTTGAACTGATAACGTATATCTTCCCTTTTCAACTGAACAGACGTATTAACATCTGCTTAAATGTCTAACAGCTTGTATCTTTTTTTTAAATTAATGATGTAGAATTGAATTGTAATGATGTAAAACTGTTTATTGAGAATCAATTTGCATTTGTTGTGTGATATTTGGTTTGGTACTGATGTCTTCTCTTCTTTCTTCTTTTAGCTGTCTGGGGAACCTACGCAAATATGAGGTAATTATCATTTCTTTTTGTAGTACTAGAAGATGTTTCAGACAGTTTGCCAGCTCGGTCTACTGCAAAAAAAAAAGCAGCTTTCCAGTAAATCTTGGAAAAACTAGTAGATGTCAGATTTACAGTTGCATTGCTCAGATGGACTTAAAGCTGCTTTAATAAATATCAGTCAAATTTATAATTTCTTTTTTTTTTTTTTTGGCCAATGAATCACACTCAAAATATGGCTGCTTTTGTTTTGTGATAGTGCAGTATTGCATCCTACTATGCTGGAATGTCAACCAGACTGATATTATCGTATGTGTAGTATTAACATTATATCAATATTTAATTTTTTAATATCACAGTTATCGTCAACACCAGTATATTGTGTTGGAATGTTGGTGGAGGTCAGCAGAATAGGTTTAAATATGGTAAAATGTGTAAACGTGTAAACAGTCAACATGAAATAAAAGTGGAACCAAGATAAAATATTAGTTCATGCATTCCTGTGGAATCAAACCAATGATATTTAATCCAATGCCCACTTTTGACCGTTAAATCATTTCCAGATTAATAAAATCAAGTCCTGCTTTATTTTTGAATATCCTATTTCACTCAGATTTATCACATTACAACTTCTGGAGATGTGTATACTGTGGGTGATTTTGTGTTTGAAATGTTCATGGTGTTCATTGATTCCAATTGTAGCCCATATATAGCTCATCCCTGCGTGAATGACTGCTGCACTGTGCGTTAATCAGAAACCGAGATTAGACTTACTCGCTGGGCCGTGGAAACAAGCTTTGGTATTGATCAACTGCTGTCATGGGGTTTTGTTGACTCTGAGCATCTTCATCGTGTCCACACTGAGCTGAGGAAGAGTTTTGTGTGCTTCAGACAGCTCTGCTGTGCAAGTGTCAATCTTTGTGTACTTGCGTATCTCTGTGGCTGTGATAAAGCCGTCTGTTGTTGTTTTCCGCAGGTCTATACAGGAACATGGAGAAATGAAGGTTGAGCAGAGGATAGATGAGGTTTGTTAGCGCAAGCTGTTCACATTCATTGTCAAGCTTTGATTTGATTTTTTTTTTTACTTGCCTAATTTTAACTTTTACTTTTTCACATTTTTTATTAGTGTCAGCACCTGCCTCATTTTAACTGGAAACCATATGTACCTAACAGCTGATATCCACACTTCAAACTCTCGGGAAACATTGTGCAGCTACCCAAGAGCGCCATATAATTAAGATTTTAATTACTCATGCCTTTGATAGCAATTAAGTTTCCTAGTCAGGGAGCAAATAACAAGCAGTGCTGATCTGTTTTATGTTCTGCTTGGAAACCTCAAAAACGTTTTCTCTGTGCGTGATGCTGCCCTGACTACATGTGTGCTGTTGTCCAGTCTTTGTTATTTGAAAAGTGTTGATTTTAGGCATTTTTGTCCATTTTGGCATTGCTGTTTTGCGAAGGGTAACAGGTAAAGGCTGGAATACACAACATTTAAAATCTGAACAGATTTTCAAACACTAGGCATCATACACTTGCCAATGTTGTAAATGGTTACAAAGACAAACTGGGCATCAAAACTGAGCATCACACACTACCAGACTTTTAAGTCATTTCCAACACAACAACAACCTCATACAAGAAACAAATGAAAACGATGTGTGTTTTGAAATCGGCTCAAAATCTTAAACATGTTTGATATCCTGGCCAAAATCTTTCAGCAACTAGCATTGATTTGGCCAGACTGCAAATTGGGCAAAAGTCAGTGGTGTATTCCAGCATTAAACTGTTTTGTATTATCAACAGGTATACATACAGAAATAAATAAACATTTTGTGTGTGATGTAAAGCCTGGTGCTTGATTTCACACCTGGAGCATTAATATTCCTCATTTAGGAGTCACACTTGTGATCCTTGGCCCAAAGTCAAAGAGTTTAACTTTTTTAAACAATGAAATGTATATACTGTATTTTGTTTCATTAATATTAGTGCTGTCAATCGATTAAAGAAAATAACTAATCACACTTTTTTTTCTGAAAATAATTTGCGATTTGTTCTTTTTCCCCTTAATATTTAACTAGCCATTCAACATTAAAGTGTAATTGAGAGCTATCAATTTTAACATTTATTAGACTTTAAAAAAGAACAACTTCTAATTTAAGTGAACTTAAAACAATCTTGACATAAACCCATTATAATAAATGTCATAATTACCTGTGCCCTTCAGCAAGGAAATATACAGAAATTGAATAAAGTTATCAAACACTAAATTCTAAATTAAATACAGATGAATCCTTAATGCTACAAAAGTTATTGATTTCCTCTTTTTTTCTTTTGTTCTTTGATGAACAGACATCACAGCAGCTGGTTATTGGGTTATTTGGCTGCTATTACTTTAAGAGCTGCTGCTGCTGAACGTGACGGCGACCTGATACATATGCTCATACTTTCATTTGTGCTTTGATATGAAATGATACAGACTGCAGCGTGCACCACGCGCTACAAGCAGAGTATAATGGCTGATCGGACAGGAAAATTTGTTTGTACTGATATATGAACTGACAGCGGTTCACTGTTGTTCTACTGAAGCTCCTCATCACCTGTGCCGTTTGCGCATTTGGCTCACGCCTGGTGCTGAGGTGAAGTGGAGTGCGCGTCTGAAAAGTCTCCCGTTTGATGAGGTCTTAAAGACGTTCTGCGTCTAAGTAAACGCAATTCTTGTCAAGAAATTAAGAGACCGAAGCAGCAGTTGTGAGTGGGGTGGCCAACCCTTGCCCCGCCACTGCGTTAAATATTTTTAACGGCATTAAACTGGAAAAATTAATCGCTTGCGTTAACACGCTAATTTTGACAGCACTAATTAATATTTTTATTTAGTATTTTGTATTTTTAGGGAATATTATAGTATATACTAGACCAGGGGTGCCCAAACTCGGTCCTGGAGGGCCGATGTCCTGCAGAGTTTAGGTCCAACCATAATTAGACACACCTGAAGCAGCTAATCAAGCTCTTACTATGCATACTAGAAACTTCCCGGCAAGTGTGTTGAGGCAAGTTGGAGCTAAACTCTGCAGGACACCGGCCCTCCAGGACTGAGTTTGGGCACCCCTGTACTAGACAGTATTCATTTATATTAAATATAAACCTAAATTAAATAATATTAAATTATGTGCCATCTTTTCTATAAAAAAATTAATACAAAATTTCAGTTAAATGCACTGCATGGAAGGCAGTCGAACCACTAGATGCTTTAACAGCCCTATATATGTGACCTTGGACCACAAACCAGTCATTAGTAGCATGGGTATATTTGTAGCAATAGCCAACAATACATTGTATGGGTCAAAATTATAGATTTTTCTTTTATGCCAAAAATCATTAGTATATTAATAAAGATCATGTTCCATTAATATATTTTGTGAATTTCCTACTGTAAATATATCAAAGCTTAATTTTTGATTAGTAATATGCATTGCTAAGAACTTCATTTGGACAACTTTAAAGGCGATTTTCTCAATATTTATTTATTTTTTGCACCCTCAGATTCCAGATTTTCAAATAGTTGTATCTCGGCTAAATATTGTCCTATCCTAACAAAACCATACAATCAATGGATTCAGCTTTCAGGTGAATATAAATCTTGATAAAAAAAAAAAAGGCCCTTATGAGTATGACTGGTTTTGTGGTCCAGGGTCACATATATGATTTATATATGTGAAAAATTACAAAAAAACAAACAAAAAAAAAGAAATAATTGGTACACACGAGAGGGTTATTTAAGGGTTTTAACTTTTTGTGCTGTTTTTGTACTGACGTCACCAAGCCCTCTTATTTGCCACTTCAATTACCTGTCAGTGAATGCCAAAACAACTTTTCACTACCTAATTAGTTGCAGATGAAACAACATTATTTTTATTATGCTGATTCACTCAGCAATACAGTGCAACTCTTCATGTTGCTTTTAAACGTTATAACATGTAACTCAATCTGTACCATGGTGCCATAGACATGAATGATAAATCAAATTATGTGGCTTGTAAAGATGAAGTAACTTGTTACATTTCTTAGCATTTAGATGCACCTGATGGGTGACAAAACGGGTGAAAATATTGAATTGGTTTAAAATGTAGGTAAGAAGCAGAACCTAACAGGGCTCGACAGTGCGACCATTTCAGTCGCATTTGCGACTGAAAACTACTGCGTGCGACTATGAAATTTATTTTAGGAGCACCAGTGCGACTGACCCGATCATCATCATACTTGTGATTGCGCTCAGGGAAGCTTCAAAGCTTTCTACGTGTTTTTGCAGCGTCGAGTAATGTATCAGACATATCTCACCAATCCTTCATAAGCAAAGTGTAGACAGGGTGTAAATAAGAGATTCATCACACAGTGTAGAGAGCTTCGTTGATTATAAATGTGAGCTCGCGATGAACTAAGATGATGAGTGACAGCTTTGAATGATTTTTAAGGGAGTTTGTAAATGTGATAACTGATTTAATACAATACAATTCAATAAACAAGAAGTTAATTTTAAGTTACTTACATTGTCTGACTATAACACTATTGTCTGATTTTGCTCTATTTCGTTGTATTAAATAGTTTAAAAACAAAAACACAGCGGAGCCGCTGCGCATCTCCATTCAAACACAGCGGTGTTTCGTTTATGAACGAACAGTTTTTTTAAACGAATCTAGTGAATCAGTGATTCATGATTACCCATTCATAAAGACAGTCACTCTTGAATGAATAAGCCGTTCGAATGAATCAATTGAATGAATGATTCAGTGATAAAAATCAGTGACTTGCCGCCACCTGCTGGCAGTTTTAGTTTCATTTTTAAAGTATCTTTTCAGTTATTTAAATCATTTAATATTTCTATATTCAAAATTTTATATTTAAAACATTAATATCATCATGGATTTATGGATTTAATTGCACTCATTCCACTTCTGAACCTCATTAAATGTCTGAAAGTACATCAAACAACACTTTTGTGTTCTTCTGTGCCACCTCTACTCCTGATACCAAAGATAGCTTTGTTGTCTCCTGATCAAATTAGTTTCGATCTCATGAGTAGATGAGTTCACCATACTGACAGGACATAGACCAAGAATATGGGACTCGTGTGCTGGGTGACTTAGCAAATCTCGTGATGGCTGATTTCAGTGTCCGTTCATAGTTAGAAATCCCTACAACTGTATACTTCAGTAATGTTGGCATGTGACTGATATACAGTCTTTCCTCTGGTAGATCACCGGTGGGGCAGGATTCGTGGGCTCGCACCTCACTGATAAGCTGATGATGGACGGTCATGAAGTGACAGTGGTGGATAATTTCTTCACTGGCCGCAAGCGCAATGTAGAGCACTGGATCGGCCATGAGAACTTCGAGCTGATCAACCATGATGTGGTGGAGCCTCTCTATATTGAAGGTGGGTGCATTCACATAGCAGAAGATATCTGTATTGTCTGGTATCCAAAACTAGCTTTAGAATTTAAACCTCTTTTATCTGCACAAAATGCCACAAAGGTACAAAGTAGATGAACATGACATGAAACCATAAGAAATCTCTAACATGAATAGAAACTATAAGAAATCTCTTTACTTCTGTGCACTTGTTTGTCTGTGAAATGCATGTGTTGAGTACAAGTTCTTTCTATTTAGGGTGGGATTGTTCAAACAGGCATTGTTTTGGCAACTGAAAAGAAAGAAAGAGGAAAATGATTTAGACTGAATTTACTTTGTACGTTTTAAAAGTTCAAGAGGTGGGGATGGACAGAAACTTCCAGCATTGAAGGAAGACGGCTTTCGTAAATTCAATCTGGTTTGAGGACAGTCACTGTCTGTGACTAGATGCAACAATGAGTGCTTGAATGAAGCGATAAAGTGCTTAGAGGAGCTTCAGGTCATTATTTTGGTCCAGGTGTGAGACTTTTTGCCCCTCTTTGTCAGGTAGCATCACACCTCCCACCACTCCTGCTAATCAAAATCGGAGAAGTGAGAGGGCGGCTAGTTAAAAACAATGTCAGCTATCTTTGTAATGGAAAATCTCAGCAGCTGGTGTCAACCCCTGATGAGTAAAGGGTGATACACTGTGACATTAGCCACATTCACACAAGAAGCCTGTTAAAAGTTTTTGAACATTTTGACTGCAGAGCAGTCATCAGAGCATTCTGACCTTGTAAATGCTCTAACCATTAATCTTACAGCTTTTCTGAACTTTTCTGGCAGTGATACAACTTCATAAGCTGGCTCAACGGGCCCGGCACACGCATGACCTCAAAACTGGAAAAATACTCTTGAAGGTGGTGTATGCTAAAGCGCTTTTGTTTTCTGACAGATTTTTCTTTTGGGTGGTAGTCTGTGGTAACATACAGTAAAATGGTTATGGTAATAATGGTACATCAAATAATAGAAAAAAGATCTGCACACTGTTATTCTCCCTTTATTCAAAAAAGTTAAAAATAGCAACGTTTCGGTCAAAGACCTTCGTCAGGCAAACACGCATACAAACAAAGGCAATAGCTCAATAAGTACTCCGATTCAAACAGAGTTCAAATTGATGACACCTGTTAGCAATCAAAGGCAATCATGTGAACAGCTATAGTATATCACATTTAAAACAAAATAACCACATTGAGGCAAAACTTAAATACAACCACAATATAAAAAAATCCAACAACCACATTGAGGCAAAACTTAAATACAACCACAATATAAAAAAATCCCCAACACCAAAACACTCCCCCATCTTTTTTATAATTCTCAATTACTTTTCCTAGAATTAATCAATGCATAACTATACAACACATATTTAGGTACAAACGAGACTGTATCAACAACATTCACCTTTAAATACAAAAAATATATCAGTTAGAAACATGAGTTAAAGTCAAGTTCTAAATTAAAGCCCTTAGGGGAAAGAGGATTTAGTGTATTAATATAATAAGCTTCTCTTTTTAATAAGATATTGTTGACATCACCACCTCTCCTAGGTACATGTTCAATTCCAATATACCTAAGTGTGGAAAGGTTATGCCTTTTTGAATTAAAATGTACTGCTACCAGGTTTTTTTGATCATTTGAGTGTATACTGCTTCGATGTTCTGCAATCCTAGTTTTTAAAGCACGTTGTGTCTTTCCTATATACGCCAAGCCGCATGGACATTTGATCATATAAATAACATTTTTAGTTGTACAAGTGATGACACCCTTAATTTTAAACTCCCTTCCTGAATGAGGATGAGAGAAGACATTCGTTCTTGTAGTGAAATTACACTGGGCACAACGACCACAACTATAGTTACCTGAAGGGATAGATAAAAAATTAGTGGGTCGTTCTACAGATAAACTAACATCAGCTTTTACAAGGAGATCACGTATGTTAGGAGAGCGTTTATACACAAACAGTTCTTTTTTCAAAGATATCACTGAGGGGAGGATCAGATTTTAAAATATACCAGTGTTTATCTATGATCTTTTTTATATCTGAACAAATAGGAGAATATTGAACAGCACATACAATGGTTTTATTTTCAGATTTTAACTTTTTTTATTTAGAGATGTCTCTTGATTTTTATTTCCAAATCTCCTAACTGCAGACTGTATCCAATCTAATCCAATAACCTCACTCCCTAAGTCTGTTTACCAGATCAGTGCTTTGTTGAGTGTATGACTGTTCAGTATTACAAACTTGACGTATCCGGTTAAACTGACTAATGGGCAAGCTACGTTTCAAAGTTGTAGGATGGTAGCTCCGTCCATGCAAAAGTGTGTTACGATCAGTGGGTTTTCTGTAAAGATCTGTGATTATTTTTTTGCCATTCTTAATAATACGAATGTCCAAAAAACTAACACATGAAATCATCATAATTAACAGTAAAACATAAGTGTTCATCACTAGTGTTAAGGAAACTGTGAAATTGTAGCAGTTGATTTTCAGTGCCTGACCATAACATAAAAATATCATCAATATACCTTCGCCAAATTACAATATTTGAGAGAAAGGGATTTTGTAGACCATTAAAAATAATGCCCACATACAAGTTTGCATAATTTGGGGCCATGGTACTGCCCATGGCGGTACCCTTAATCTGAAGAAAGAAATCATCGTAGTATCTGAAAAATTTTTGTCAACACCATTTTAGCTAATGTTTTAATGCAATGAACACTAGGGTTTTTGTTTTGATGTGGGTCTCTAAGAAAGACTTATATTGCCTTAATCCCTCCTTCATGTGGAATGTTAGTGTATAGAGACTCAACATCGAATGTTACAAACAATATTTCATCAGGTAAAACAATGGATTTTAAAATTTGTATCATATCGATAAGAGTCTTTTACAAAGGAGGGCAATGTAAATACAACTGGCTTTAAGAAAAAATCCACAAATGTTGAAATTTCCTCAGTAAGAGACCCGATTCCAGATATAATCGGTCTTTATGTATTTTGGGAAGTATATAAATGACTGGTGTAACTGGATAATCAACCTTCATAAAATCAAACTCCTGTTTTGTAATCTCACCAACATCCACAAACTGTTGAAGGTATTCCTGAATTTCGTTCTTAAAAACATTGGTGGGGTCAGTACTCAATTTCTTATAAAAGACATCACTTAATTGTCTTTCCACTTCTAGGTCATAGTTAGCAAAATTCATTACTACAATGGAACCACTCTTATCTGCTGGTTTGACTATAATAGTCTTATCTTTTCTTAAATCAAACAGAGCACTTCGTTCATCCTTAGTTAAGTTAGTAAAAACGTTGTACTCCCGCTTGTTAGAAAATACCTCCCGTACATCCCCCTCTACAAGACGACAGAACGTTTCTAATGAGGCATTTCTGTTCTTAAAAGGAACAAATGATGATTTACCTCGAAAATGTGTAGAAATTCTCATCGTTTCAGAAGGGGGAGAGTGATCAGAAGGAGGAGTATCTTCAACACTAGAGAGGGTATTCAAGGGTTCAACAATATATCTATTACCAAAGAATTCTCTAACACGTAAAGTTCAAAAAAATGTTTGAAGGTCCACATAGGTGTTGAATTTATCATAATTGGTTGGAGGGACAAAAGCCATCCTTTACTCAAGGCAGTTAAACCTGCAGGAGGAATAGTTTTATCAGACAAATTAATCACATTGGATATTTCCTGCTCCGAGTTTGATATCGCCGGGGAGAAAAGTCTCTTTTTCTTGCTCCTACATTTTCTCCTTTTCTTCCTCTCACATTGCCTCTGGATATTTGTCGCCTTCGAGGTGTCACATCGTCTAAAAAAAGAAGATGAAGAGGAAGCCGTACTCAATTGAGTCTCAGAATTTTTGCCTCAATGTGGTTGTCTTGTTTTAAATGTGATATACTATAGCTGTTCACATGATTGACTTTGATTGCTAACAGGTGTCATCAATTTGAACTCTGTTTGAATCGGAGTACTTATTGAGCTATTGCCTTTGTTTGTATGCGTGTTTGCCTGACGAAGGTCTTTGACCGAAACGTTGCTATTTTTAACTTTTTTGAATAAAGGGAGAATAACAGTGTGCAGATCTTTTTTCTATTATTTGATGTCCCTTTTGATCTCACTCCTGGCCAAGTCTTTTTTGGATGTGCGTACTTTGTCCCCTTTCTTTATAAGAGTCTTTTACAAAGGAGGGCAATGTAAATACAACTGGCTTTAAGAAAAAATCCACAAATGTTGAAATTTCCTCAGTAAGAGACCCGATTCCAGATATAATCGGTCTTTATGTATTTTGGGAAGTATATAAATGACTGGTGTAACTGGATAATCAACCTTCATAAAATCAAACTCCTGTTTTGTAATCTCACCAACATCCACAAACTGTTGAAGGTATTCCTGAATTTCGTTCTTAAAAACATTGGTGGGGTCAGTACTCAATTTCTTATAAAAGACATCACTTAATTGTCTTTCCACTTCTAGGTCATAGTTAGCAAAATTCATTACTACAATGGAACCACTCTTATCTGCTGGTTTGACTATAATAGTCTTATCTTTTCTTAAATCAAACAGAGCACTTCGTTCATCCTTAGTTAAGTTAGTAAAAACGTTGTACTCCCGCTTGTTAGAAAATACCTCCCGTACATCCCCCTCTACAAGACGACAGAACGTTTCTAATGAGGCATTTCTGTTCTTAAAAGGAACAAATGATGATTTACCTCGAAAATGTGTAGAAATTCTCATCGTTTCAGAAGGGGGAGAGTGATCAGAAGGAGGAGTATCTTCAACACTAGAGAGGGTATTCAAGGGTTCAACAATATATCTATTACCAAAGAATTCTCTAACACGTAAAGTTCAAAAAAATGTTTGAAGGTCCACATAGGTGTTGAATTTATCATAATTGGTTGGAGGGACAAAAGCCATCCTTTACTCAAGGCAGTTAAACCTGCAGGAGGAATAGTTTTATCAGACAAATTAATCACATTGGATATTTCCTGCTCCGAGTTTGATATCGCCGGGGAGAAAAGTCTCTTTTTCTTGCTCCTACATTTTCTCCTTTTCTTCCTCTCACATTGCCTCTGGATATTTGTCGCCTTCGAGGTGTCACATCGTCTAAAAAAAGAAGATGAAGAGGAAGCCGTACTCAATTGAGTCTCAGAATTTTTGCCTCAATGTGGTTGTCTTGTTTTAAATGTGATATACTATAGCTGTTCACATGATTGACTTTGATTGCTAACAGGTGTCATCAATTTGAACTCTGTTTGAATCGGAGTACTTATTGAGCTATTGCCTTTGTTTGTATGCGTGTTTGCCTGACGAAGGTCTTTGACCGAAACGTTGCTATTTTTAACTTTTTTTAATAAAGGGAGAATAACAGTGTGCAGATCTTTTTTCTATTATTTGATGTACCTTTTGATCTCACACCTGGCCAAGACTTTTTTGGATGTGCGTACTTTGACCCCTTTCTTTATATGGTAATAATGGTAACGTATATGGTAAAAAGTTTCGCAAACTAAACATCTAGTGAAGTATTTATTACTGTATTGCCTTTTTACACAAATTGAAACCTGTCACAGGTGTTGACATTTAAACTAAGAAATGAAACATGTTTATTTAGTTCTTTTCTTTTATTTATTTTGAGACAAATTTCTCCAACATAAAGATTCTTTAGTAAATAGTCTTTCAGCAGTCACTTTGAATCTAGTCTCAGCCTCTGACAGTATGCCAATGGCCCGTCTTATACATTGCCGGTGGCTTCCATGAGTCAGGATAAACAGGATTTTCTCAGCTTGTCAAAATTTGGTTTACAAGTTTCCAGACCGCTACAGTGAGTCCTTCTGAAGAAGCAATGAATTGCAGTGTTTGCCAATGAGTTTTCCTTGAGGCACGTAAAGGTATAGTTCACCCAAAAATTAAACTTCTGTCATTAATTACTCACCCTCTTGCGTTCCAACCCATAAGACCTTCGTTCATCTTAAGAACACAAATTAAGATATTTCTTTAAGAAATCTGAGAGCTTTCTGAACCTGCATAGACAGCAATGCAACTTTTCAAACATGTTCAAGGCCCAAAAAGGAAGTAAGGACATCATTAAAATAGTCCATGTGACATCAGTGGTTCAACCTTAAGTTTCTGAAGCTACAAGAATACTTTTTGTGTGCAACGAAAACAAAAATAACTTTATTAAACAAGTTCTTCTCTTTTGTGTCAGTCAACACGCGTACTATGACATGCGTGTGATGCTGCTCATGCAGAACCCAGCGTTCTAACGTAGAATCCGGATGCGCTGCAGCTTGTTTGCAAGTAGAGGAATGTGCACACATGCGTTGTGGTGCTGTCGTGAATGCACGTCGAAGACTGACACGGAAGAGAACACATTGTTGATGAAAGTTTATTTTTTTTGTTTTCTTTGTGCACAAAGTATTCTCGTAGCTTCATAAAATTACGGTTCCACAAATGTTGAAATTTCCTCAGTAAGAGACCCGATTCCAGATATAATCGGTCTTTATGTATTTTGGGAAGTATATAAATGACTGGTGTAACTGGATAATCAACCTTCATAAAATCAAACTCCTGTTTTGTAATCTCACCAACATCCACAAACTGTTGAAGGTATTCCTGAATTTCGTTCTTAAAAACATTGGTGGGGTCAGTACTCAATTTCTTATAAAAGACATCACTTAATTGTCTTTCCACTTCTAGGTCATAGTTAGCAAAATTCATTACTACAATGGAACCACTCTTATCTGCTGGTTTGACTATAATAGTCTTATCTTTTCTTAAATCAAACAGAGCACTTCGTTCATCCTTAGTTAAGTTAGTAAAAACGTCGTACTCCCGCTTGTTAGAAAATACCTCCCGTACATCCCCCTCTACAAGACGACAGAACGTTTCTAATGAGGCATTTCTGTTCTTAAAAGGAACAAATGATGATTTACCTCGAAAATGTGTAGAAATTCTCATCGTTTCAGAAGGGGGAGAGTGATCAGAAGGAGGAGTATCTTCAACACTAGAGAGGGTATTCAAGGGTTCAACAATATATCTATTACCAAAGAATTCTCTAACACGTAAAGTTCAAAAAAATGTTTGAAGGTCCACATAGGTGTTGAATTTATCATAATTGGTTGGAGGGACAAAAGCCATCCTTTACTCAAGGCAGTTAAACCTGCAGGAGGAATAGTTTTATCAGACAAATTAATCACATTGGATATTTCCTGCTCCGAGTTTGATATCGCCGGGGAGAAAAGTCTCTTTTTCTTGCTCCTACATTTTCTCCTTTTCTTCCTCTCACATTGCCTCTGGATATTTGTCGCCTTCGAGGTGTCACATCGTCTAAAAAAAGAAGATGAAGAGGAAGCCGTACTCAATTGAGTCTCAGAATTTTTGCCTCAATGTGGTTGTCTTGTTTTAAATGTGATATACTATAGCTGTTCACATGATTGACTTTGATTGCTAACAGGTGTCATCAATTTGAACTCTGTTTGAATCGGAGTACTTATTGAGCTATTGCCTTTGTTTGTATGCGTGTTTGCCTGACGAAGGTCTTTGACCGAAACGTTGCTATTTTTAACTTTTTTGAATAAAGGGAGAATAACAGTGTGCAGATCTTTTTTCTATTATTTGATGTACCTTTGGCAGTCGCGGCCTAATGGTTAGAGAGTCGGACTCGTAACCCAAAGGTCACGGGTTCGAGTCTCTGTACAGGCAGAGATTGTAGGTGGGGGGAGTGAATGACCAGCGCACATGCGTTACCTTCAATAAAAAAGACTTGAGCAAGGCACCAAACCCCCAACTGCTGCCCACTGCTCCGGGTGTGTGTTCACGGTGTGTGTGTGTTCACTACTCACTGCTGCGTGTGTGCACTTGGATCTTGCGTGCAGCTATCTACAAATGCACAGGACGCGATTCACAGATAAATGGCAGGCAAAGTTGTGGTTGTGCCATAAATATATATTTGTGAATGTTTTTTATTTGCAAATCTCATTTTATTTATTTGTGAATTTAATTCATGTTTGTGAAACTTTAAGATTTATTTGTGGATCTCATTCTATTTATTTGTGGATCATAATCTATTTTACCCCCATACTGATGGGAGGGGAAATTTCTGCGTTTGATTTACTAACAATGTGCAAATTAAAGAACACAGACGCAACATCTCATTTACATATCAACCAACGCAATAGATCAAGCGCAGCGCAAATTAGCGTAGTCACAAATAAAGAAATAAAGAAGCCACGGTACGTTGAAAAGAACTGTAGGCCAAAAAATAAAGGTTTGCTAGAAGTTTTGATAGACTTGGTATTGTGTGACTCCTATTTGAGGGTTCCAAGTCGTATTTTATTTCCTGAAGCAAATTAATAATTACATGGCTTGGCAAGCGATATGTTCGGATAATGTGTTCTTCTGGCATTCCAAAAAAATTAATACATGTAGGAAAAAATCCTCTCCCTTCTACCACGCACTCTCTGTTCTCTGCGGTGCCTCTTCCTAGCAACAATAATTGCAAACATTTCAAGCGCAAAATAGTTTAAGGCATACTTTTTTGGGGCGTTAAATAATGGCGCAAATGCCAGTAATTTGACAAGCACAAACGTTAGTAAAATGCGTTGCGTGATTCGTTTGAATACCCTCCTCCCATGAATTTTGCGTCTGAAAGGGAAACTCCTACAAATGCATATTCAATAAGGTTAGGCGCAAAAATGTGTCCATGCCTTTTCAGTGCTAATTCTTCACTATGCGTCTTTAGTAAATCCTGACAGTGCTGTTTTAACGCCAAAAGGCAGTTTGCTCTGGCACAAGCTGTTAGTAAAACTGGCCTCTAAAGTTTATTCAAATGTTCATTCATTTTAATTGACAAGAAAATGACTCATTATTTATGATTTATTAAGCATAAGCTATGCTTTAAAGCATATTAAATTAGGCAAATACATTAATATGGTATGCATATTATGATAGGTCAAGCAAAAGTGGCAACACTCAATGTCATACAGTATGTAACAGGGTACCAATGTGTCTTTGGCCTGAAATAGTTGGAAGACTCCTGGGGTGGACGTTCCTTAAAGAATTCTTGCTCTGTTCTTCCATGCCAACTAAAGCACAGCACCAGCAAGTCTCCGCACTGATTTTTCATTCCTATTCAACCTCTGTCAGCCACTCTTTTGACTCATCTCCTTCCTCAGCCCTCTTTAAATGATCCCTGCTTATCACTGCATCTAGACTGGACAGGGTGAAAGAGAGCTCGTCTGTTTATGGTGTTTGTTCTGCATCCATTAGATTGACTCACCTTTGCTTTGTCTGTCTGAGTCATATCTTCCCTTTACTTATAATCATCTTTCTGCACATCAGACTAGATATAGATAGAGCATTGAATAATGGTGATGGCAGGACGTGCAAAAATAATGATGTATTTTCATGCAGTTCGAGTTGCACTAAGCCTTCTTATGTCCGTGGCATTGGTCTGTGGATGAATGCCAGTAGCATTTTGAGTGCTCAGAAGTTTCTCTTGGAAGAACACAACATTTGAACAACTTTGGTGTCCAATTATATGTAGATTCATGGAACATGGAAGATCTTGCATTAACTGTCTTTAGCCATAATACCCCCCAAAACAATCATTTGCATTAACAAGACTGCTCATTTGGTCGGGCATATGAATGGGCAGATGGTTACCATCTATTTAAGTTGTTGTTTTGGATTTGCTTCAGGCCTTAATCAGTATTTGTAATCATTGTGCAGTTGGATGGTGTTTATATTGGTATAAATGGAAGTGTGTGTTTGATTTTTATCTGTCCAATCTGTCCTCTGGCAAGAGGATTGGTGCTGAATAGAAAAAAGCTCAATAAACAGTTTCCCCTCTCACTTTTCACTTTCTATTTTTTGTCCCCCTCTTTTCTCAGTTGACCAGATATATCATTTGGCCTCGCCTGCATCGCCACCCAACTACATGTATAACCCTATCAAGACACTGAAAACTAATACTATTGGTACTCTGAACATGCTAGGTAAGTATCACCCCAAATTTAAAAGTCTGTCCCTCCATTGAAAATCCGTTCCACTAAAACTATGATGCTTTAGAACAGGGGTCTCCAACACGTCGCTCGCGAGCTACCAGTAGCTCGTGGCCAGATTGGAGGTAGCTCGCCAAGACATACTTGACATATCGGCCTGAGGTTATTTAAATTATCCCATTTCATATTTTAATAATCATTAAACCTGTATTTGACGTATCGCGATTTGAAAAACTCAAAGTAACTATTGTTCAGCTTTGATCAAAGTTATTAAGAGTCTCACGCAGGCGCAACACGCAGAGTAGTTTCGTTTTGTGTGAAAACATGACTGAAGGCAGACTGCTGAGGGAAAGAATGCAAAAAGTGTCAAATTAAGTGACGTTGACAGCCGACAAAAAGGGGCGTTAATGCAATCTATTTTTACTTGTAATAAACCGAAACTAACGCGAAGGAGAGAGGGCTCCTGATGGCAAGCAAAAAACTTGAAGATAATAGGTGTTTGGGATAAGCTAAAAGAAAGCAAAAGCGAACCGTTACATCAGGTTACCTTAGCACACCTCTCTCACTATAGAGCACATAGCCTATAGCACTATAGTAAAATCCCAGGACACCCCTAGTCCGAGTATCCAATGTTGTTTATCACTTTGCATTGTCTGACATGAATATTCCATTCATTCATAAAGAGACAGCAGCGATTCTGCAAGGGGTTACATTTGAGAGATATTGAGTTAGAAAATAGAGTAAATCAAGTAGCCTATAAGGTGATTGCTCCGATTAACATGACACACACACACACACACACACAGACATATGAATTCTCAAATTGAAGAATTCTGTAGTTTTCAGGTTTCTAGATCTTATGTTTATTATTATGTCATATACATTTTTGCTTTCTGCTATTTTTATGTAGATTTCAAGTATTTAAGTTCATATAATAATACATTTATTTCAAGCCCATGCTGAAATAAAAAATGATAGAAACCATCAATAGAATTTGTAATAGTTTTACTGGTTATAATGGAAATTCTATTGGTTTTAATGGAAATTGTAATGGAGCCTATTGGTCTCTACTGGTAATTGGTTGCCTATTATTGTTGTTTAATATTATTATTGTTAAAACCACTAAATCCTAATGGAACATGTCCCAAAACACACTACAGGAAACCATTATTTAATGGTTTTAATGATTCAAAGTTGATGGTTTGTAATGTTTGTAATGGCTTTTGTAATGGAAACCATTAGAATTTCTGTGATGGTTTCTATTGTTTTTTTCAGCAGGGTCACCGTGGGTTTTGTGATGTTTTTTGCCATAAATTCAATGCATTGCTGTAATATTGTGAGATAGAAGCGGCCGTTTGTAGTTGTGGTGGGCCTATTTGGGAGAAAATCCAGGGCCGTTTTTTACTCCCAGTCCGTCCCTGCGGGTAATGCGTAATATAGTAGTGCTTAGAAGCACAGAGCATCTTTGTTTACAGAGGTTACTGTGGAAACAGCTCTGTTCTGTTCATAAGCGCCATCTGTTGTCAAACTGTGGATTTACAAATTCAGTCAGTCTGTCTGACATATTTTTTGTTCAATGCGAAAATTGGACCAAATTTTTGTTGTAAATCTTAACTGGTCAATGGAAAATTGCTGAACTTGTTATCAGACATTTAGATTTTTAGAATGCACATTAGTGTGTAGAACTATTTATGGAGCAGATTTTATTTTATTTTTTTATCATTCTGACTCATCCTTTATATATATATATATATATATATATATTTAAAGGCTGAAATGTTATAGTTTTATTTTAAAAAATGGTCAAAACTTTATTTGAACATGTAGTGCATGTCAGTAGATAACATTTTATGAATATTTTTTGTTAGTTTAAAATCCGGCCATCATTTTTTTATGTTTTTATTTCACTGTTTATGCAAACAAAAAGTGCATATGTGCTAATTTTATTTGTTGGCTTTTGTCATAAAACTTGGTAAAATTATTTCAGTGTGTGTATCAGTACTTTTTTTATATTTCCAGCACATATTTACAATGCCGTGTATAACAGTTTGGATTTACATATATTTAAGAGATTTAAGTATTGTATAACATTGGTAGCTCTTAGCCGCATTCATTTTTAAAAATTAGCTGCTGAATGAAATAAGGTTGGAGACCCCTGCTTTAGAAAGTTCATGATCGATATGATGCATATGCATTTAATCCAAGTCTTCTGGAGAGATATGTGACCTTGGACCACAAAACCGTATCAGTTCAGACTGGAGCTAAAACTGTAATTATGAAAAATATTTAAACTGACAGACAAACTAACAAGGCTTCCCAGTACTGTTTACCAGGCAACAATCTGTAACTCAGACAATGGCTTTGGTGATAGACTTGTTAAAGTAAAGAGAGAAAATTGCAGCAGGTACAAACCATTTAGTTCAATTTAATCTTCTGCCTGTCAGTTTTGGAAAGGATAGCGTCTTTTCAATCATCCACGTCGCACTCTTTGGAGTCTTCAATCAGATGTCCACTGTCTGTAAGTACAGCAGTAAAAGACCGTAATGATTTTTTCTTATTTTGTTGGTGATAGAGTTTTCTGAGTTGTCATTTCTGTGTTGACTTGAAATAATCTATTTTCCGTCTCATGCTTGCAATTACATGTAATTGCTTGTGCAGGTTATTGCCAGGTCCACATGGAATCTGTTCCACAGAATTTCAACGCCTGTCATTCTTAAAATTCTTGTGTTTTTAATTAAATATTTTGAATTTTCTTTCAGCTGCAAATTAAAGTGCAGTTGGGATGAGCGAAAGTAGTCAAGAAACAGATTGCAGGCTCTTGAGACGGTGTTTATTTTAAGCTTGACATACCATATTAAAAAAACCGACCAGCCGCAGTTTAAAAAAATACATGGTCAAGGCAACCTGGACGAATAAAGTGGTGCACACATATTAAAGGGGTCATATGTTGCTAAAAATAACATTATTTGGTGTAA